TTTAACTTCTAAATTATTAAAAATTTTGAAAAAATAAAGAAAATAAACAAGAAAAATTCGACATGAAATAAACAAGAGAATTAATGGTTTATTGTTTTAAAAAAATAATTTAAAAAAACCAAAATAATCATCTAAGACAATTCGTTTCTCCATAATTACCTATAATATATACAGTAAAACCTCCATAAATTATTCCTCTATTAATTAGTAACCTCTGTTAAATAACATTTTTCTCCGATCCCAAGTCAAGACCAGTACAAAAAATGAAAAAACTCGATTAATTTATAAGATAATAATTTTTCTAGAATCTCTAATGTAAATATAGGTCCCCATAATTTCATAAATTAATAAGTACCTAAAATAATAAATTAGATTTGAAGATTTACTTAGATTTTAACTTAAGAATTTATTTTTATGTTTGTAATTGTAATGTTTTTGTTCCATTAAAAAAATTATAATGTTATGGCTATGAATGTAATGGACTTTTCTTGATATAAATTAAAAAAATTTTGTATTTTTTTAATTAAAAGGTGAGGACTACATTCAGGTTCTAACTGACTCAAAAAAACTCAAAGGGTATACCCAAGAGGTAAATTTTTGAGGCAGCCAGTGCCAGGTGATACTATGCACCCAAGGGGTCTAGCCAAGGGATGGAAATATATACCACCCAGTTCCCTAGTATCATACCTCCTTGCTTTATTTTATTAAAAGAGAAAGATACCAAAGGCAGTGCATCAAACTTACCCTTGGTGATTACAGAAAACATCAACTCAAACCTTTACAAAATAGCCAACAATTACAAAGAGAAAAACTGCCTACACTACGATATTCTAGTGCGAATATGAAAAAGACCACTGATCCAGAAGCACTAGTCCTTTTGCAACAAAAGAAAGAACTTGCTGAGAATGAAAAATGTGACAATTTCCCTCCGAAGCAGTCTTTGCAAAATTGTCCGCAACCGCATTAGTTTCATGAAAAATATGCTCTATCGAGTAGTTTTGTCGCTCCAATATAGCTAATATCTCCATCAAAGAAGATAAATGGCGCCAAGGAAATCCATGCCCCTTCTGCAAGAGGTCCACCAAGACCTTATTATCAGTCTGAACAAGATCCGGATGCAAACTAAGTAGCTCACATCTCCGCAAACTAAATAACAATACAGCAACTTCCGCTTCCAAGCTGTCAACATCGCCTATGAACCCTAACTCAACCATAAACGAAAACACCGCCACCCCCTCTAATTACAAACACATATCCCGCGCTTTGGTCTCGAGAAGAGCCATCTGTATTCAAGACATATGAATCTCTATCTGGTGGTTTCCAACAAACTATAGTACATTTCCACGCAAGAAGTTTTCCATTTCGAACATGAAAATGTCTGTCCAAAAAATCCAGCTCCCCCATTGATTTGCACGGCATCATATGGATTCGTAGTAAATCAGAAAATAGCGTTCAAAATATTGCCAATTAGCACTCGATCAGAACAAGCTATATTCTCAAACAAAACCTTGTTCCGGTATTTCCACAGCTCCCAAGAAATCAAGGAAGGAACATCCATTAACAAGATTTTCAAGGCCGTAGTGAACCCTTGCGCTACCAAGCAGATAACATTTGATCAAAAGTCTGCGAGTTATTCATGCCAACATCAAAAATTAGGGCAAAGTAACTCCAAATCGTTTTAGAGAAAGAACATCCAAAGAAACAATGTAATATTTCATCCCCTTGAGCCTTACAAAACAAACGCATAGATGGCAATATTTGAATTCCAAGCCTACGGATAGCATTCGGAAAAAGGAGAAGTAGATTGCACAACACATAAAAAAGGAGATTCTCATGGGGTTCCGGCGATGCCATATATATTGTTTAAAATTTGCTCAACCTGCTTCCTTCCTCTAAATTGTTCATAGGCCGACTTAATGGAGAAACAACCTAGAGGATGCGGTTTCCAAACATGAATATCCGGACCATCCAAAAACTCCGCTAAAAGCTCATTTTTCCTGTTGAAAAATTGGCGAATTGGCATAGGAGGAGAAGAAGCCAAATTAGTCCATAACACCCCAAATGGCGACCAATTATCATGCCAAAACGAGCTATCTCCGCAACGAACGAAAATTGTTGAGTGTGCACTAGCACGAAGGTGAATTCTCTCAATCCTTTTCCAAGACATTTTTCCTTTTGCTGATTTTGACAAGGAATGTAAGAATCTGCTCCATGGACCTTCACGCCGCTTTACTTTCCACCAAAGTTTAGCAGAAAATGCATCCATGACTACCACAAAATCCCGCAAGCCAACACCATTCTCTGCGACTGGATAAACTAGACCCTCCCAGGCTCTCCAATGATGTTTCTTCCTTCCATCTGACTCTCCCCAAAGGAAATCTTGGCACCGCTTTTCAATACCCCTGATTATAGACTTTGGAGGAGGGATAGCTGCAATCACATGAAGCGGAATAGCACTCAGGACATGCTTAATAAGAAGTAACCGACCAGCAGGGCTTAATAGCTTGTTCTTCCAATTCAAAATCTTACGATCAACTGAATCCCGTAGAAATTGAAAGGTTTCAGCCTGCAGAAATTAATAACTCTATAAATTAATAACTTTTTAGAGACCCAAGTGTATTAATTTAGAGAGATTTTACTGTATGTCAGTAGTGAAACACAAAATTTAATCGCTCTATCTTAAAATGATTATTTTGTTCGTTTATAATAAAATAACATAAAAATTAGACAATGATTAGAAATAGGAAAATTGTTAATTTAATTAGTCCACAATGATGAATTATTATGAATATCTCACCATTTAACATTTTTACTAATTATTATTATTAATTTCTTATTGCTAAACTCTATAAACAATCATTGAATTTAATAACAAGGAAAAACGTATGTACTCTTTAACTATGTAATTTTTTTATATTTTTTATATTATAAAAGTTGAAATACAAAAGGTAAATTATTTTTTAAAATTTAGTAATTTTACTAGTACCAACATTTTTTAAGAGAATCAGGATGGTACCTGGTGGGCATTCTCCAATTTTATTAATTTTTTTTTAAAAAAAAATACACTAACAGAGTGCTTAAGACTTACTCAAAGGAAAGAATCTGTCGTACAAAGATTTTCTAAAATCCCATGACAACTCTAGTTACTAATTAAGAGGATGTCTGACAAAGATAGTACTAAATTCCGTGGCATCTCTATATTTTACTATTTAATCTAAGAGAATGTCTCAAAAAGTTTACCAACATATAAAAGTTAGAAAGTATAAGAATAAGAATTTTTTTAAAAATTAAAATTAATTTTTTTAAAAAAAATACAAAATGTCGAAAATACTTCTGGACCCAGCTCACATGTTTTGTGTGATACCCCGCCCCAATCCCATGTCCCGTAGCAGGGATCCAGGCGTCTAGATGTCCGCCAAGCTCACGCCAGGACTTAAGTGCTCTCAATAAATTATGCGGAAACGTGCTAGCTGGATCTAGAAATTGAATCTTATTCCAAAAAAATCCATTACAACCATTCCAATTTGTACTATCTACAATAATCTAAACTATCAAAACGACAACAATCAAACTAAATTCTACACAAGTTTCATGGCCACTACACTGCTAACCTCACTTCTCATGTTCACCTGTGGAAGTATTTAAAGTTGAAAACAGGGTGAGTAATTAACCCAGTGTGACATTCACTGGTTTGAAAAATAGAGATATACGATATATGTGCTTGTATACTTTTTGAAAATTGAGAGAAATGTTGTAATCATTCTTTCAAAGTAATTACGTAAAAACAATTTTCACGAAAATGATTTAAATATGCACAAGTTATCAATCAAGGCATGCTATATCACATTGGAGCATCGGCCAATCCCACTCAAACACACAATTTTAGATTGACCTAAACTCCACAGCAAGAATATCATGGTGCATCCCCGAAACTCGCGGGACCATGAGTTCAAGCTAACACTATTCACGCCAAGGACCAAATTTCCCTGCCGATACACAGCATGCGGCTTAGGGTCAGAACAATCCAAGGTATGGTAGTTGACAACCCAGCTCCAATCTACCCATGTACTTAACACGATTTGGTATCTCATGAGACTACCGCCTCTTTATAGTATAGCCAATGATTCGAGTTATAAACCCTTATCACGGTTAACTAGTAATGAGGTTCTGGGCACCCAGTGCAAGCACACAATACAAGTATCACGATATAACTAAGGATGGCAAGATACACTCACGAATTCAAGTCATTGAATTTAAATCAACTCACTTTATTGAATATGCACTTGGTCTCAAACAATTAGAAATACAATGCAGATTTACAATATTAAATTTGAAAATCATACTTGATCCATGCTCAATTTATGTCCAAGACTTAACTATAGGCACTTCAAGCCATTTCTTAAATTTCTAAGGTTTTTTTGCATAATGACCAAAATGCCCCCTTTCGGGGTTATTTGTAAATACAAGTATGTAATTTTGGGAAAAATTTCAAGAATTAATTGTTTATCAATTTGATTGGTAGAATTTAAAAATGATAGTTAAACTCTAGTAAAAATAATTTTCTTAAAGATATTCCAAAACAAAGGGTTTTAAGTTAAAAGGGTAATCTAGTCAAATCACTATTACTCGCAAGTCACCGCAATTAAGACTTGCAGGACATTTATAGAATTTTGATAAAATATATTTTCAAGTGGTCAATGCATGAGTTAAATAACGTTTTGTTTCGGTTTTCGATGTCTTTGAACAAAATGAGTAAGGTCGTTTTGTCGAGAGTTTTAAAATAAAAGAAATAAAGAAATGATATATTCTTGAAATTTCAAAATAAGTTTTAGAAATCATATGTTCTTCTCATCATTGAGCAAAGACAATAAAACTATAGTAACTTTGAACTTGTTTTCAAATGGGTACTTTAGACTATCTCCTATTCCCTTGTTCCGAAAATACCCTTGTTCTCTCTGCCAAACCCTAGTTGCGACGGCTCCAAGCCTCCCCCAGCCTCCATGGCCGGCGATCAATTGCCGGCAATCCTTCCTGGACTGCCAAAATCCTTTGCAAGCTTTTTTCAAAAGCCAACTAACCCCAATAATGGCACAAGCTCCCTCATTAAGCAAGTAAAATTCATCAATGGAACCCCCACATGGGAATATGAAGATGATGAATTCAAAAAACTTGTAGCTCCACACCGTTTGAGGCTTGTTGCGAAATTCTCATATGGAAGACCCAAAATGGAGGAGGTTCACAAGGAGTTTAGGAAGATTGGATTCAATGGCGGCTATACCTTGGGCCTCATGAACCCTAGGTACATCTTAATCAGATTTGAGCAAGAAGAGGATTACCAAAGATGTTGGATCTGAACATTTTGGAATATCACAGGCTTCTCAATGCGAATGCTGAAGTGGAAACCGGGTTTTGTTTTGAAGAAGATCCGTCGGTTGTACCTGTATGGGTTTCTCTTTTTGACCTCTCCATTCAATACATGCATCTGGAGGTCATCTTTTCCATGGCAACGGCTATAGGGCAACCTTTAAAATTTGATACTCCTACGTTTAATATGACAAGGCCATCAGTAGCGAGATTTTGTGTGGAAGTGGATTTTATGAATGAGTTACCAAAATCCGTTAAGATTGGGAAAAAAAGTCTGAAAGCATGAGCAAGAATTCACGTATGAGCATGTTCCTTTTTACTGCTCAAAATGCTGCAAGATTGGCCACAAAGAGATCGACTGCCGAGACGAAACATCTTTGCCAACAAAAGATGTTGCGGAGGAAGTTGTTCAAGCAACAAAGAAGAAAGGTATCAAGTTGCAGCCATCAAAAGGGAATTGGGGGCCAAACGAAATGAAAAGAAATCTGAGATTGAGGTTGAGATAGTACGAACTCAGCCGCTTATCGTCAAAGCTGTGGAATCGCAAGCCACTGCAAAAGTTCCAGCCACATCCCCTACGGAAACCCTAGTCGCACCCCCTGCGGAAACCCTAGCTACACGCCCTGAGAAGCCATTGTTGAGGGGTTCGACTTCAGGGTTGAGGGAAAAGGAGAAAAAGGATACTCTTGTGGATATTCTACGCAGTCCTCCCTTGGTCCCAAAAAGAGTGGAACTGGTTGATATGACCCAGCGCAAATTCAAAAATCTGTTCCTTTGCCGCAAACAAGTAAGTTTGCGATACTTCAAGATATTGATGATGCCGGCAATGAAGTGAAATCGTTGAATGGGAATGACAAAGACAACTCTTTGGAGGATAATGATGATGATACAGAGAATATATTCACAGAGGGGAACAATGACAGACAGTTGGGTCTTTTGGATACTGGTGACGGCAATAATCTGGAAAATGAGGGTCAGTCAAAAACTCTTTTCTATCCGGATGATTCTTTCTCATCAGAACAGATTGATACATATGAAGATGATGATTATAATCATGATAGAAGTTGGTCTGATGGGGAGAAAGATGCGGCTGATTTAGTTGAAAACACGCAAGGGGAGCTTTCGATAAAAAACAAGAGAAGCCGTAAATCAAAGGAGGAGAGTGCTAAGTTACTAGAAGGTAAAGAGCTCCGGTGATCACTTCACCTTCAATGATCTCATTATTTTCTCAATGATAAGTGTCATTTTTTGGAATATACGAAGAATAAAAAAAGCAAGCTTCTCAACGTCGCTTGAAAACTCTCATTCGGATGTATAGGGTTTCGTTGTTGGTGATTCTTGAACCAATGCTTGCAACAAATAAACTAGAAGAAATAAGGAGAGAGCTGAATGTTGATTTTGCTTTTGCTTCAAGTACCAGTAAGATTTGGGTATTTCGTAGCAACCTATATACAATAAATCAGTTGGAAGTGGGGGAACAAATGATGCATTTCGAGGTTGGATATGTGCCACTACAAAAGAATTTTCTTCTAATTGCTGTGTATGCTAAGTCAAATAAGGTGGAGAGAGGACCTTTATGGGCTAATCTGAAAATCTTTCACGACTTGTATCCATTGCAACCTTGGATAGTTGGAGGATAGTTGGAGGCGACTTCAATGTTATAAGTTCTTTGGATGAAGACTCTGGGAATTTAGTCCAAGATTATGGTGCAATTTTAGAATTTAATCAGTGTATTGATGTGAATAATTAGCTAGAGGTTTCTCCTGTGGGGGATGAATTTACTTGGGGTGGAACTAGGAATACTGGATGGCTTACCAAGAAGTTGGATCGTATTCTTTTCTCTTGAAATGGATGATATGTCCCCGAAGACTTCAATAGAGCAATGGAGTCAGACAACATCGGATCATTACCCTTTACTTCTTCAATTTGATGAACAACTTGAGACCAGGCTGAGATGTTTTAGGTTTCAAAAAATGTGGTTTCGCTGGAGTGAATTTAAGGATTTGGTAAAATGTTGCTGGTTGCAGCTGGTTGGTGGTTTTGGAATGATAGCTTTCTCAAAGAAACTTTGTCGTTTAAAACTAGTCCTCAAGGATTGGAACAAAACACAATTTAGAGATGTTTTTCAAAATTTGCGACTTGCGGAAGACAAAGTCAGGGAGTTGGAAATCATCTATGATCACTCGAAGAGTGTAAATGATAGGCAAAATCTTAGTGTTGCTAATGCTACATTGCTTCAAAAACTAAAAGAGCATGATGATTTTTTGGCAGCAAAAAATGCACTTAAAATGGTTGAAGGAGGGTGATGATAACACGGCCTATTTCCATGCAACTCTAGTTGAAAGAAGAATGAAATTGGGAATTCAGAAATTCAAACGGAAGATGGAAGAGTGCTAACTGAACTAGAGGATATTGAGAAGGAGGCTGTGAGTTTTTTCTAGCACCTCTCGATAGAAGAGCAACCTCATATGCGTCAAAATGAAAAACAGCAAGCTTTCTTGCATAATCTTAAGGATGAGTGAGTGTAGAGAAGAAGGAAATGCAGATTCGACCAGTCACTATTGAGGAAGTCAAGGCCGCGACTTTTAGTCTTGATGAAGATAGTGTGGCTGGGATAGATGGTTTTGGGGGTTCGTTTCTATAAAGCTTTCTGGGATATAATAGCGGAGGATCTTTTAGCAGCTTGCCAAGAGTTTATGGGAGGTGTACAAATTCCTCTAGAGCTGTTGCAAGTACGGTGATCACCTTGATTCCCAAGAAATCTTCGGTTAGCACATTTTCATATTTTCGGCCTATTAGTTTGTGTAATTTCCTAAACAAGGTTTTTACAAAAATTCTAACGGAAAGGTTGAAAATGGTTCTACCGAAAATCATCTCTGAAGAGCAGTCTGTCTTTTTGCCGAGAAGGGATATTATTGATAATCTGGTTTTGGCACAAGACCTTTGTCAGTTCATAAATCATAAGGCAGTTGGGAATAATGATATAATCAAGATTGATATGATGAATGCGTTTGATAGAGTATCATGGAATTTTTTGGAGAAGGTCCTTCAAGAGCTTGGTTTTCCACTTCAGTTCATTCTATTGATCATGAATAATCTCTGAAATAGTTGGTTTTCGGTAATGGTGAATGGCTCTCCAACAGGTTTCTTCCAACCTTCTCGAGAAGTAAAACAAGGTGACCTACTATCACCATATTTGTTTATTTTGGTAGCGGAGGCAATGTCACGAAGACATAAAGAGCTTGCTGGAAGCTATTAAGAGGATTTTGGCAATGCCTAAGGGATCCTTTCCCTTTATGTATTTAGGCTGCAACTTATATCATGGTAGAAGCAAAGCATCATCTTTTCAGTTTCTCTTGGACTCTTTAGACTCCAAAATAGCAAGTTGGAAAAATAAATTGCTCAGCCCGGGGCAAAGACTTGTGCTTTTGAGACATGTAATTTCAGCAATGCCTATACATGTATTATCAGCAATCTCTCCTCCTATGTCGGTCCTTAAGGAAATGGAAAGGAAGTGCCAAAGATTTCTATGGCAAGGTACTAGTGAAGACAAAAAAAGGCATTGGGGGCAATAGGTCATTCTGGTTTGATGATTGAATGCCTAATGGAGTTATATGGGATGATCCTAATGCTCACCCGCCTTATCCTGAGCTTGGTATCAACGATTTTCTGTCTAATAAAAATGTGTATTTACATGATTTGCTGGGTTCTTTGGAGCCGGATGTGTCGCACTCATTGATGCGGCTTGATGAAACCCTAGAGGTGGAGCGTGATTTGTTCATATGGCAAAATTCACCGTCTAGAACTTTTCCAATCACATTAGCATATCATCAACTGCAGAGGAGGGGCATTGCGGACTCCTTATCAAAGAATTTTTGGCACAAGTTGATCACCTTGAGGATACCTTTTTTTGTATGGACGCTTCGCAACCTTCTTGTACCTTTTTAAGAAATCTTGAGCAAGTTTGGTATCCAAGTATGGCCATCTATTTGTCCCTTTTGTAGAAGTCATGAAGATACGGCGGCGCATTTTTTTCTTTGCTGTTCAGAAGTGAAGAAAATTTGGCAGCATTTTTCTAAGTTGTTTGGAATAAAGTTGAGGGAGAATACAAGCTTACTAGCTGTTTTGCAAGAATGGTGGAGATGCGGATTTTTTGGAACAGCCCTAAAAGCTTTGCTCAAAATTGTCCCATTGCTCATTCTTTGGGCGGTTTGGAAAATGAGAAATAAAGTTCTATATGATGGGGAATTGTACACATATGATAAGGTGATAACGGTAACTAATGTGGGAATTCAAAATATATTGTCTATACGTGATTTGAAGGCGAGGAACGCGGACGAGCAGGACTTTCTTGAGAATATCTTTGGATTCTGATTGCAAAAGGTACAAGTGCGTAGTTGTATCTCTATTTGTTGGGTTGCTCGTGATCAAAGTGAATACGTGCTACATTCTAAAGGCTCAATGGTGAATTCGGATTCGGGATATGGTTTCTGCATAAGGAAGAAAGATGGGAATTTTTTATTTGGTGAAAGTGGCTACTTAGGTGGAGGAGATAGTTTTGGAGCAGAAGTGTATGGAATTTTGTTTGGTGCAAGGAAATGTGACCAACTTGGGCTGGAAAAGGTGGTAATACAAACTAACAACAAAACATTTGCGGATCTTTTGGTTGATATGAAGATTGTTCCTTGGAAATACCTTAGTCAGCTTTTAGAGATTCATCATATTATTCAAAGGCAATCTTATACCATTTATCATATATTCAAAGAAGCAATTTTCGTGGCAGAAGGCTTAGCTGGGGAAGCATCACTCATCTTTTCAGTTTCTCTTGGACTCTTTGGACACCAAAATAGCAAGTTGGAAAAATAAATTGCTCAGCCCGGGGGGAAGACTTATGCTTTTGAGACATGTAATTTCAGCAATGCCTATACATGTATTGTCGGCAATCTCTCCTCCTAAGTCGGTCCTTAAGGAAATGGAAAGGAAGTGCCAAAGATTTCTCTGGCAAGGTACTAGTGAAGACAAAAAAAGGCATGGGGGCAATAGGCCATTCTAGTTTGATAATTGGATGCCTAATGGAGTTATATGGGATGATCCTAATGCTCACCCGCCTTATCCCGAGCTTAGTATCAAAGATTTTCTGTCTAATAAAAATGTGTATTTACATGATTTGTCGGGTTCTTTGGAGCCAGATGTGTCCCACTCATTGATGCGGCTTGATGAAACCCTAGAGGTGGAGCGCGATTTGTTCATATGGCAACATTCACCGTCTGGAACTTTTTCAATCAAAATCAGCATATCATCAGCTGCGGAGGAGGGGCATTGCGGACTTCTTATCTAAGAATCATTGGCACAAGTTGATCCCCTTGAGGATATCTTTCTTTGTATGGAAGCTTCGCAACCTTCTTGTACCTCTTCGGAAATCTTGAGCAAGTTTGTTATCCAAGTATGGCCATCTATTTGTCCCTTTTGTAGAAGTCATGAAGATATGGTGGCGCATTGTTTTCTTGGGTGTTCAGAAGTGAAGAAAATTTGACAGTATTTTTCTAAGTTAGGAATAAAGTTGTGGGAAATTACAAGCTTACAAGTTGTTTGCAAGAATGGTGGAGGTGCGGATGCTTTGGAACAGCCCTAAAAGCTTTGCTCAAGATTGTCCCATTGCTCATTCTTTGGGCGGTTTGGAAAATGAGAAATAAAGTTTTATATGATGGGGAATTGTACACTTACGATAAGGTTATAACGGCAACTAATGTGGGCATTCAAAATATCTTGTCTATACATGATTAGAAGGCGAGAAACGAGGACGAGCGGGACTTTCTTGAGAATATCTTTGGATTCTGATTGCAAAAGGTACAAGTGCGTAGTTGTATCTCTATTTGTTGGGTTGCTCGTGATCAAAGTGAATACGTGCTACATTCTAATGGCTCAATGGTGAATTCGGATTTGGGATATGGTTTCTGCATAAGGAAGAAAGCTGGGAATTTTTTATTTGGTGAAAGTGGCTACTTGGGTGGAGGAGATAGTTTTGGAGCGGAGGTGTCTGGAATTTTATTTGGTGCAAGGAAATGCGACCAACTTGGGCTGGAAAAGGTGGTAATACAAACTAACAACAAAATGTTTGCGGATCTTTTGGTTGATATGAAGATTGTTCCTTGAAATACCTTAGTCAGCTTTTGGAGATTCATCATATTATTCAAAGGCAATCCTATACCATTTATCATATATTCAGAGAAGCAAATTTTGTGGCAGATGACTTAGCTGGGGAAGCATCACTAGAGAATTCAACTAGATATAGCTCTATGGGAAACTTACCTAGACATATTAGGGGACTTGTTCTTTTAGATCAGGTGTCCTTTCCATATATACGCAGTCGTTGTGAATAGATCCTTGTATGCTGGTAAGTCTTAAGCATTGCCAAGTTCTCTGTTTTGTAAATAATAAAATAAGGAAAAAAAAGACACTAGGAAACTGGATGGTATATATGTCCATCCCTTGGGTATACCCCTTGGGTGCATTGTACCATATAGCACTCGCTAACTCAAAAAATATCTCTTCGATAGGCTCCTTGAGTATTTTTGGGTTAGTTGGAACCTGAACATCTTTGTTTCTCTTCCTATTGATTGAAAAAAATTCAAAAGAGTACGTAAAAGTAGTTCATTAATCATTTTCCATCAAATAAAAGATAAAACTTTGAATTTGCATAGAATTTCTGATGTGAATGGATCAAGCAACTCACATAACACATATTCATGTGATCAGTTAATTCTCCATAGCACAAATTCATGTTAATAACAATTATTAGCATTTAACACACAATTTTGCAACATTGTCTATTAAAATTCAAAAAAAATAACAAGAATGAACAGTTTCGAAAATAGTTTTGCACACATGAATACTTCAACAGTTATCTAGAAAAAGGTTTTATATATACACATAAGGTTTAGAAAAACCCATTTAGAAGTATCGCCATGAATCCCACACCTTGCTTCCACTTCGAATTTATGCTCTCCTCGGCTCGTGATTAACTAGATTCTTGATGCGATAATCTTTGTCAAGTTGTAAATTATTTTGGATTATGTAGTCTTGGCTGATGTTTTTGAGCAGAAGGGATTAGAAGTTTTGATGGTGACTACTTGTGAAAGGAAAATGGAGAATCTAGTGTTGCACTAGATTGTATGGGGTAAAATGCCTACTACTATATTTGATTAAAAGCATGAAACAAAACTTAGCCTAGTTTGGTGGTTCTTGGCTACTCTTGATGGCCGATGGTAGTGGAGAAGGAAAAACTCCATGCAAGGTTCATGGTTTGAGTTCTTAAATAAATCCCAAGCTACTTTGTCTTGAAGTTCAAGTAACTTATTTATTTTATCTTTCTTTTACTTAAAGTTTAAGATTCATTTATTATATTCTATTTTGCTTCCAAGTTGCTAGGAATAAGGGGATGAGATTTTCAGGCATATACGTGGAAAGAGATGAATAAGAATTATGGCTAATGGTTAACTAATGTATGACATGGTAGAGATTTGAGTTCTACAAATTATAAATCTAATAATTTCTTTGTCTTAAGTTTAAGCTTCATATTTTTATTACTTCTTTATGTTTACTTTTACTTGAAGTTAGTTAAACTTGCTTTTCAAGTTGTTGCTTATTAGTCATGAAAAATTTGGGCTTATACATGAGAGAAGAAGTTAATTTAGTTTGAAGTTCAAGAATCTATTTTATCACATTTCCTTTTCGTTTTTTTTTTTTTTTGTAGTTTAAGTTTTCTTTTGTTACTTTTCTTCCAAGTTGAGAATAATTAGGAATAGAGGTGGTGTCGTGGTGTCAAGGCATGGAGGAGGAAAAATGTACATATTATGATAAATATGTTCAATTAGGCCACGTGAGGGAATAAAAGAATAAATAGAATTGATGGTTAAGTAGAAAAAATTATGTGGACAACTCAAATCTAATCTTTGCAAATATTTTAAGAATTTTAGCTCTCTTCATATTTTACTAAGATGTTTCGTCATGCGTTTTAATTTAGTTTTAATCTAATCATGTACTTGAGTCATACACAATTTTTGATATCTTACTTCTTTACGACCCTTTGTTCAATTATGATGTGTTCTAGTTTGGACTCAAATCTCGGGTCCTCACATTTTGCACGTGACAAATAGCTATCCGTCATGATTTAATACTCAAAATTAACAAAATGACTTCGGATGAATTTTTGGCATGTTGTTGATATATACTTTGGGAATAAATTTGAGCGATAACATGTGATGAAATTATCGAATAGTTTAATGATGTGTTTTGTGGTTCACTCTTTAAGTTAAACAAATGTTGGATATGCAAACCTTTCCAATTAACACGAGTTCTTATTTGGGTCATTAAGTTACTTATCTACTTTTTATAACTATTAGAAATATCTATGTCTGTTTCTATATCGTTTTACTAATGTCGTTTAGTTCTTATGAAACCTAAAACAGTAATTTCAAATAAAATACTCAAAATTCAAAAGTTTAATTGAATGAAATTTAGTTCCAAAGTTCGCTGAGTCAAGTTTAGTTCTAAAATTTACATCCAAATAAAATAATATTTCTTCTGTTCTAGAAAAAATAATTACATTTTAACTAGGGAATCCTGTTGTTTTTAGCGCAACTCACAAGTTACTATATAGACTATTTTTGTGGGATATATCAATATTTATTGATTTAAAATTGAAAAATTAATATTTCATTGACAAAAAAAATTAAACTAACATTTTTCTCCAACCCTTGCTTGAGTTGCCATAGCCCATATATTTTCAAGAATGTTGAACGAGTTGAAATTTTGAGGATTACAAATACACAAATCTTAACGCTTTGGGACTAAACTCGGTGAGGGTGTAACCTTTAGGGATGATATATGGATTGACTATAGTTTCGGGGGGAATTTATAAATTTCCGGTTTAATTGCGATTCAAACGTCGACACTGGTCATCACGTCACAGAAATCTGTACTGGAAACTGCCTCTAGCAAATTGCCCGTCATAATCCTTCGTTTCGTTACTTTTCCCCGCAAAAAATTGATTTGCCGGCAGCCCGGTGGCTGGCCGTCTACCTGATAATATCTGTCCGACCCAGCGGCTGAACTCGCTTCCGCCTCCTCCGCTGCAAGAATCTTCCGTTTGGTCGTTAATTTTAAAAAAGTTTGTTCCACGCGGAAATATAACGAATGGGCCGGTCTCGAGCTGTTCCTCACTCCGCCGATGAAGATTCCGGCCAAAGGTATGTTCCCTTCTCTACTCTGTCACTCATTCGTCGTGATAAATTTCGAATTAAGAAACTTTAGTTTGTTGAATTTGTTCTATTAGTGACCAATGTTCAGTAATTTGGACCATTTTTAATTTCTAAACCTGTAATTAGTTAACCTAATTCTTTTGCCAGTAGGGAAAAAAGGCCTGAAAGTTGCAAAAGACTGTAATGCTAGAAAAGTAAAAATATTTGGCAGCCAAATTATTACAGTAAATCATGTAGCAAGGCCCTTGCTTTATTTTTGTTGTCCTTTTCTTTTGCTCATTCTTACTTTTCTGCAGGTCAAAGAGGAAAAAGACAGCTTCCAACGTCGAAAATGTGGAAACTGTTACCGCAGGTAATGCTCTACTCTCATGATTGTGTTCTGAATCAAGTTGTGTTATTATTTTTTATTTGAAGAATTCAAAAAGTGTGTGTTTTAGGTTATCAACCAGGGTTAGGAACTCTGTTTGTAAATTTTTGTCTTGCATTACTCAAGGTGGAACTCCTGAAATCATTCAGCATAGTTGGTTTGTTGATGTTGTGCGCACTGGTTGAAACAATTATGTTCATCCATTCTTAATTGCAGTCTGATATATGGTTGGACTCTTTTATTCCCCCTAAAATCCTTTGCCTTCTCCCCCACTGTGTGAATCTGTTGCAGTAGCTTCAGAAAATAGTGGTTGAACTTTGTAAATTATCAAAAATGCCACTATTTGAAATGAAATACATTGTTTGCCATTTCAATTTTACTTTTTATTTTTTGCTTATAACCTAAAAGAAATGGAAAAAAAATAGTGAAGTTGCTTCCAAGAAAAGTACTTTGATGATGCTCAGATCGATATGCTCTTTTATTAGACATTGCATCAATCATAAGAAGTTTAACAGGTTAAAAACTGGAAAAGGAGCTTTAGTTGAAGGTGGTGGTGCGCCTAAGGAAACAATTGAAGAAAAGAAATCAAGGGAAAAAAGCAGTATGATTGTGAAGGTTGGCTAAGGCTCTTACAAACATTCCATCCGTTTCTTTGATGTAAATGGAATCTTGTTACAACAACATTTAAATTGAGAACTTCACCTAGGAAGTTGTCCTTAGAAGTCTAGTTAACCCACAACCTCTGGGGTTATCTGTGTCATTGGCATAAATTACTGGAATGCTCCACATTTGGGCATGTTTTTTTTTCTCCCTTTCAAGCTTTTTTTTTCTCTACCTTCCACTTATTTTTTCTTTCTGGTTTTAGCTTAGTACGTTGGGTTAGTGGAAGGGATGAAGTGTTGTTTATGTAATCGGTGTTTTTGCGTACAGTGGTTCTGCCTTGCCTTCCATGTGGCTTTAGGGTACAAGAGGAGAAATTATTAACATCCAGAATGGGCTTATGATGGATTTTACCCAAGGAGTGAAATAATATTATTGCAGATAATATTTCTATGGTAAATTCTACTTGGAAGTATGTGTAAATCATTTTGCTGCTGTGAATGAACTTTAAGGTGTGATGAAACTATCTTATATTTTAATCATTACTTTTTTGTTGTTATGAAGCTCAAGGGAAGACAGAAGGGAAGGCTTTATACCATTGTAATTATTGCAATAAGGACATATCTGGGAAAGTTCGCATTAAATGTGCCATCTGTTCTGACTTTGACCTTTGTGTGGAGTGCTTTTCAATTGGAGCTGAGGTCCATCCTCACAAGAGTGGTCATCCATACAGGGTCATGGTTAGCACTTACTCTATAAATATATATATTTTTCTATGTATGTTACACTTCTTGGATAATGCATGTGAACATTGCTTCTCTCTTCCTATTATTATCGTCTAAATTGGACTCTATGGAATGATTTGGTATGAACTAACTGTCCCATTTCTTGGTTTTCTTGAATGTGTAACTGAAATTTCAGCCCATCATTAAAAGTCGGCCTGTATTAAGTTATTTTTTTAGGACTCAGCATAATTAGTATCATATGTTAAAAGATGACTAGTGTCTTCAGAAGATTGAATGCTGTTGGATGAGAAACACAGCCTGGAAATGGATTGGAGATGAAAGTTTTTCAAAGAAAAGAACATGGAAAATCCAATTCCGTGGCCAAATTATTTTCTCTGGATACATTAGTAAAAGAATTTCCATGAAAGACCAAAGAAAGAAGAAAAAGAAAAAGGAAAAATCAATAAGAAATAGCTGGAAGGGTTCTCAGGAAAAGGATATGAAATTGCTCTTTATGTCTTGAACCGAGCCCATTTTTTGGGATGCTTTGTCAGTTTCAAATTATAGTCTTGAATATCATTGTCCATTGATTTATAACTTATTGTTAGATACGTGATGTGGGCCATTTGATCTGGAATTCATTTCGAGTTTTTTTTTTAGTTTATCTATTTATTTATCTTTCCCACACAAAATGCAGATTTTGGTTCAATAGCTTAAGTCAACAATATTGATTTTTGTAACCAGAGGAGGTTTGTTTGTAGTTTTCTTGATTGGGCATGAACTAAATTAGGGAAGGAAGCGTAGAAAATTTTTGAGGTGAGGAAGTGACTAAAAGTGGGGATTGCATGGTTTATTGATCCATTTAAGATACTGATGAAGGCTTACATAATGTCTACTAACATCATCAACATCAACATACCCAGTATTTTCCCAACCAAGTTGGGGTCTGGAAAGAATATATTGATACCATTTTCTAAACGTGTATTAAGCAAGGCGAGAAGTAACTATTCTATTGGACAACAATTTGGTTGCGTGTCAAGGAGTGTGCAATGAGATAATTAAGGCTGATGTGCTGGGAGTGAGGAAATGAACGTGCAACATCTGTTTGAATTTTATCTTTGAATTTTCAAGTGTCTTAATCCCTTCCCGTAGTTGTTGACGAGCTCATGATGAATCATATGTTAGTTGACGATCTTGGAATATGGTTGGTTTTGGAAGGAAAGAAGTAGAATAATATCTTATATTATATATGGGATTCATAATGATTCATCCCATCTTTAGCAATGCTACTATGGATTTCATTTGAATTCTGGAAGATTGCTACAGGTCTGCATCAGGGATCGACTTCGAACCTCTTGTTTTCTCATATTTGAAGATAATAGAGATTACTGAGCATCAGAATCTAAATGTTTCACCATAAGTAGAGATTCGCTCTGTCAAATGCCACTTTAGTGATCACACAAAGAATTACAGAGTGGATGTCAAAATTGGCAGGCTTAAACTAAATGAGTACATTGTTAACTAATATTCTTCAAGGAAATGAAGGATTGGCAGAAATGTTACATAAAGAATTCCGACTCGTTGAAATGAAAAAAATAAGTGAACGTTCTGTTCTTCATATGCTTGTAAAGCACCATTGAAGTTGGCAGAAAAAGTTTTAGAACACTGTCACAATCATTATTCTGATTAGAATGTTGGATTGGTAAATATGAGAATGGACAAATATGATGGTAACGTAATTGTGAATGTACAAATAGATGAGAAATGAGATCGATTAGATAGGATCACTTTGAGTGTTAGATAAGGGGTTGGTCCTGATATTTGACATGCGAGGAAAAATGTATATAAGGTGTTTGTATATGCATGTCTTGCTAGGGTGTGTGGAGAATATAGCTTCATTAGCTCAAAATAAAAGAGAATCAAAAGAGAACATGAACCCTGAAATTGCACAAGAAATGATTTTGTTTAACCTAATACGAGGATATGTGTGTTGCCGGAGTAAGATGGCTACATTTGATACTTCTAATTGAATCCAAAACGGTGGGATATATGTTTAGTCATATGGTTTTGGAAATGTAAGAGAAATGGTATATGCACGGTAAAAATAGTTTTAAGAAAGAACGTTATTCCATCATTTATCTTGGAATTCATTGGACCAACGTGGAACCAAGATATCTGAATTAGGATAAAGAACAGCAATTTTTTCAACTGACTGATTAACAAATCTTCAACAGTTGAGTGACTGCCATCAGACTCACGATAGTAAATTTTATGACCAGTGAACTAGTCTTAGATTGTTTGAGTTTGTACTTTCCAATACAATTATCTCCAAGTTGCTTTATTCGTAACCTTCAGACATTCCTTCATTATTAGTTCCAATCATCACAAATTGCTTTCCTGCAGGATAATCTGTCCTTTCCCTTAATATGTCCTGACTGGAATGCAGATGAGGAAATTCTACTCCTGGAGGTACTTATATATACGCCCTCTAATGTTTGATGTATTCATTATTTTTATAGTTAGTTTTACACAAACTTTTCCTTCCCTCTATAATCCAGCGAAGGCGTTTGTCTGCCTGGTTATAATGGATTTTCTTGCCTACAATATTCAGAAGGTAGTTTTTCTGTAGATCTGAATTCTAGCGAATGGTTTCTGTGCTAGGGAACTGAAATGTATGGACTGGGTAACTGGGCTGAAGTTGCTGAACATGTTGGAACCAAGAGGAAATCACAATGTATTGAGCACTACAATGCTATTTACATGAATTCTCCATGCTTTCCTCTTCCGGTATGAAATTTATTTTTACTATGTTAAGTTTTTCGTTTTATCGTGTGTGATGTTTACTGATCCAAATCTCATATGTTAAAACTATATGTATGATGCATACAGGACATGTCTCATGTTATGGGAAAGAATAGGGAGGAGCTCCTTGCCATGGCCAGTGAACATGGAGAAGTAAAGATGGGTTAGTTCTCCTGTATTTCACCTTCATGCCCTAGAAAGGGAGAAATAAATTGATATATTCCTTGTTTTTTGGTTGGTTTTGGAGCCCGTGTGAATAAATGCTTATGTGCCTCCTGCACGCTTAAACTTCTTCATTCTCTGCTCTTTCTGTTAAATAGCTCCAAGAGTTTAATAAGAACATTATCTTTCTACAATTAGAAGTTCATGAATTGTTATTCAATGTTCAATCTACCCTTGGTATTTCTCTTTTTTGGTCTTAAATTCTTCCCGATTCTGCATTATTCACTTTGTTGGCAGTAAACTGTTAACATTCTATTTGACTAATTCACTTATTAATTATCATTTCCCTATAAAAGTGAGTATCATAAGCTCAGGACGTTTATTAATTAGTTGGTAAAAAAAGTCAGCAATTGTTTTTTCACCAAATCAGTGAAGATCTAGAAATTTGACTGGTGAAAGCAAATGATTTGAGCATTGTACTTCTGGACCTTAATACGGAACTTGGCGTTGTGTTTTGTTATGCTACAGGATTTGACCTTTTCTGACCTAACTCATTAACTATAGTGTCATTTTTTTTTTAGATGATACATTGGCCAATTCGTGCAGCTCAGTGCATTTTTAACTTTTTAGTCTATTGTGAAAGTAAAAGTTCAGTTTCTTCTTGGTAAATTTAATTGTAAGGCCACCGAAGCGAAATAGAGACAATATCTTAAGTTTTAGTTTTATTTGACATTTGTTAACCGAAATTGTGACGCGAGAAACAAGCTGCGGAAGAGAACTGAATATGGCTTTATGGTTATTTCAGGATACTCCACTCCTGGGGGAGTTAAGGACGAGTCTTTGCTCCCGGTGAAAATCAAGTAAAGTCATGCCTCTACTTTGCCTTTTTATGCTGAACATTTAATTTCCTTTATAATGACAGTTTGCAAATTCTTGGCCAGGGTTGAAGATCAGAGAGGAGATGGTTTAGTCGGGCCTTCCGCATTTAGCTTGAATTCAGGTTGTCATTTCTACATTTACTGAAGTGGTGTTGGTAATTTATTGTAAATGTAAATGTTGTATGGATATTCCCAGATTACTAGGAAGGTGTATAGATCTGATGTGACTACATTGGTGTCTTTATGTTAACAGAGCTAGGCTCGGGACCAGCTTCGGGTTTCGGCAATGAATTTGTTGGAGGAGCTAAGCGGGCATCAAGTCTCAAACAAAGTAAGGATGAACATGAAGGAATCAAGATTGAAGGTATAGGGACATGTATTCCTCTTAATAAATTAACCAGCCTTTCTCCCTTGAACACTCCCCCCTGTCTATTTTCTGTTATTGCTGGCACCAGTACCAATGCCTTTATGCTTCAGTTTCCTTCCCCATTAGTGGTTTGTTGGTTTTCTTTCAGTGCGATGCAATAGCTTCTAATCTATGCATCAGCAATATTGACATATCTTTCAATTGATAACTCTTTCTTCATGCATATTAGATTTATAGTTTTATTGCATTGCATTGTGTTGCCCGCGTGAACATATTTTTACATCTTGTTAGTTGGATATATGATGGGAAGAGACGGATAAAATTGAAAACTAACGGGAGAGGCGAACTCTAGCTGTAGGGATTTCAATAATTAAGGAAGACATTCTTTGAAAGCTTGAAAGCTTAAAAAAATTATAATAATCAGAAAAGCATCTTCCAATTACTGCAGAATATCTCTATTTATACAGTTGTTTGGCTTATTCCTTAATCTACTAGGATTACTAATTACCTAATACTAATAAGAGTAAAACTAGCTTAATATAAGTCGGGAAAATAAAATATAGAGAAACTTAATTCTAAAAATTTTCTAGTTGTTTCCTAAAATCTAATTGAAAGCTGTTTCTTTAACCTACCTGCATCAAAATATGAGAGGGAAAAAAAAGGATTCAAGAGAAGAACTTGCAGTATAACATTTTTCTTGCTAGGACACTTAATGTTTGCCGCCATTCTGGATACTTTTACTTGTTGCAGCTAGGTCTTTGACCATTCTAGGCTGCACGGTATAAGATTTGCAACATCTTTCAACTATGTATGTTTGTACTGTTTTCAGTTTATCCAATAAGTGTAGCTTAAGTAGGGGTTTTTTTGGATATCCTAAATTTGGTATCTTTTAACATTTTACTTTCCCACTTTTCGTTTATTTGAAAAAATTTGCTTCCATATATGTAGATGTTACAGGCCGGAGTTTTGGAGAGAAGAAACCGAGGACATCTGGTGATGAGGGGCCTTCCATAGCGGAATTTAGTGGTTATAACTTTAAGAGGCAAGAGTTTGAAATTGAGTATGACAATGATGCTGAGCAGTTATTAGCTGACATGGAATTTAAGGAGAATGATACAAATTCTGAACGGGAACTGAAGTTGAGGGTTTTGCGCATCTATTCCAAAAGGTTCTTTTGCAACTTAATTGCTTTTTTTTTTATCTTCCTGTTGTTGTTGTTGTGCCAAATTTGATTCCTTTCAATTTGGTTTTGTTTGTTCTTCAACCATAGTGATCCAGATCTAAAGCCAGCTTGTTTTTACAGTATTGTAAATATGATGTAAACCAAAGATGACTATTGCTGAAGGATGCTTACATTAAGAGATTTTGGTCTTAGTTGGATAATGGATGAATGGTATACGTGAACAAGAAATAGGAGAGTAGAGGTAGTGAATTTGAGTAATCAAAAAGATGAGTAATAGGGAATGAAACAAGTATTGAATTATGTTGTCTAAACTCTCTCTGAGCAATAGCTAAAATAGCCATGAACCTTTCCTGAAAAGTGAACTGTTTTGGTTCTTCTACTTTATAGGGGGGAAAAAAGTGAGAATAACTTCAGAGCTGACCTAACTGCAGCTTTTAAATCAGAGTTTCTGGACAGGAACAAAAACACAGGCATTTGTTCATTTTCTTTTTGCATCGTCCTGATGCCGGAAAAAAAAAAAAAAATCATTATCATAATGGAAACAAGAAAATCAAAGGGCCAAGGGCATATTAGTAGCCAAAGACTATGTATTAAGAAAGCTATTAGATACTTATGAACTAGAAAGCTGGAAGCTGAAACTCTAAAAACGGGAAAATTTCTGAAATATTGAACAACTCAACTCTCCTGATTGTAGCTTGGCGATTTTTTTATGCAGACACCATATTTGATATGGATCTTTTGACTCACGTGAGTCAGAGTAGCCTTGTGTCAGCAGGCTTTAAAAGTTTGGTGCCTTATCATACTAAGTGCTTTAGACTTTTGTATAAAATGTCCTTAAATGAGAGTGTAAAACTAAATCATTAACTTTATGATTAGATATTCCCTGAAAGTTAAGTCTCAGATCCGAAGATACATTGTTTTCAATTTTGCTCGCTAATTCAATTGTACGAAGGAAAGACTTCTGAAGAATAATTTTGAAGTTCGGATGACCTTTCTGCTACTTGTTCGCCTGATGTTGTATGTTTCAACTGCATTGTATTCTCTTTGGTGTTTTGTGTTATGTCTTTTTATTTTTGTTAAAGATTTTGCCTAATGCTGATGGCCACTTTCTTATAGCTAGTTGATAGAATGATTAGTGTTTTCTCTTTAAATGCCTGAAAAACTCTGCATTAATTGCCATCTTTTACTTTTTTGGGGGGTTCAACACAATGGCTATTCTACAGGCTGGATGAAAGAAAATGCAGGAAGGACTTCATATTGGAAAGAGGATTACTGTATCCTGATAATTTTGAAAAAGAACTTTCACGGGAAGAGAAAGACATATGCCAACGCTATAGAGTATTTATGCGATTCCATTCAAAAGAAGAGCATGAGGAGTTACTTAGAAGCCTTGTTGAAGAACATCGAGTGTTGAAAAGAATTCAAGATCTTCAGGTCTGATCCAGTGTTGCATTTCTTCTATATATTGTTTTATTGTGTTAGTATGTGTTTAGGAAGAGTGTTTTGTTAGGAACCACTGGTGGAGTTGCAGTGGGGAAACTTTATGTTTAATCGCACTAAATAAATGTTGAAGGTATATGAATTCATTTCTCCATTGGATTGCGCTTTTCTTTATCTATGAATGTAAAGTATTTTTTTTTCTATTTTTGGTGTTTTCGTTTATCAATATTGAAACCCTGAATGAATATGGATCGGTAGATGCTTCTGTCAGAGTTTAGAAGTATAGCATTTGATTTTGTTGGTTGAACTTGTGTTATATTCTCTAGTCCTTGGTACTTTGTGCAAAGCATATTGATATATTTGCTTTTGAAGAAGTAGTCTACATATGCTGTTATCTACTTTCTTACATGATTAGTTCAGTCTAGGATGCAAATTTGTTTGTTGTTGAAATCCGAATTTATATTATTTTTGCTATGTGCTTGTAGTTTATTCTTTTATGTATTCTAATTTCTCTGATTCTCCATTGTGGTCTAAATTGGGGAGCCAAAATATTCTAGTGTCTCTGATGGAATATAAGATGAGGATAGCCGAAATAAGAGTATTGAGATGAATGTGCTAGTACGCTAGATTGGAAAGGATCAATCTTGAGAACACTCTAAAGGTGATTTGGTCATTTATAAAAGTCAGGTCTCCGCCCTAGAGCATGTAGAGAATTATTAACTCAAACAAAAAGGTGAAAGAAAAGACCTAACCAAATGTGTAAAAAAGGTTAGCAACAAAGTTGCAATTTATTTGGATTGAACACAATGGAAAAATGTGTTCTTGACTGCCAGCCGGATACTTAGTTGTTTTTCTAACAGACATTTCTACAAAAATTCATCAGGTTTTTCCATCGTTTCTTAAGTTGTCTCAAACCTAGTTACTTGAGTTTGTTTGGATTTATGACAACATTTGCATTTCCAGTAAATATGTTAATTGCTGAGGGTGATTTGCTACATAGTGAGGTTGTCCTGTGATTTGTCGTAGAAACTGTATAAGAAGAATCTGTATAATCTTCTCTTCATGAAACTAAACGTAGAAACAAATTTTTTTGTTTCTGCAGGAGGCTCGGGCAGCCGGCTGCCTCACATCTGCTGAGGCTGAAAGGTTCATTAAGCAGAAAAGAGGGGAAGCAGACGATTCTTCTCTAAGAGCTACTCAATTCAAAGGGGACATTGATAGTCCTCGAGGAATTATCAGAGGTCCTGTGGTATTAGAATCTGGAGCAAAAGATATTCCATCAACAATCCGTGGAATCACTGTTTTTAACGGTTCAGATCATTGGGATGTGACCGGATTTTTGGGGGCTGATTTACTCTCTGAAGCTGTAAGGATACTGCCTACAACTTTCATTGCAATACTCAGAATTTTCCTCCCTGTTTCTGAATGTGTCAGTGTCAGTGTCAGTGTTGGTTTATCTTGTTAATGTGTGTTAGAGTTAGCTTGAGATTTCAGAACATCTTGCTTAAGCCTAAATTTGACAAGATGCGTAGCTTCGGTTTTAAAGTTTGAGATGTGTGTTATATGCGCTGAAGGACATAATCTTGTTTGTCGAGTTAATTACCGTGAGTTCTTTCTGTAGGAGAAACGACTGTGCGGTGAGATCAGGATCCTTCCTGCACATTATCTCAACATGCTGCAGACCATGTCCATGGGAGTCTTAAGCGGCAGCATTACGAAGAGTTCCGACGCCTATGGGCTATTCAACGTTGATCCCACAAAGGTCGATAAAATATACGATGTACTAGTAAGAAAAGGGATCGGGCAGGCATAAGTTGGAGAATCCAGATAAGTAGGTGGCGTGTAAATTTATCTGGAGGGATTTGCTATGAAGAGCCATTTGTTGTATTCATACTAATTGGTTAGCACTTCTTATTCGCAAAAGCACATCATGTATCCTAGATATATTTGTTAGAGCATATTTATGTTGTTTCTAGAGAAACTTCGTTGAATTTGATTGTTTGCAGACAGCAGACCTTTCACGGATATGAATTTCTTATGTGGTGTTCTTTTCAGCAAAAATAAAATAAAACATTTTTAATCCCAAACTTAATGAGGAGAGATTAGCTGACTCTCTATTTTTGTTCAAACCTCTCACGACTGATTTTGCTGCTTTGTACGGCCTTTTTTTGTGTCAAACGGGCCATAATTAACTCACAACAAATCGGGCCCATATACATACATGGTTGGGAGTCAAAAATATACTCCCTCCGTCCCAAAATTATTGTCCACTTTGAGATTTTACTTCTAGTACAATTTGAACTAGAAATGAAAACTAAAACTGGATAATAATTATGGGACGGAGGGCGTATATTATATTGCTAGTTCTAGTTAGAATCAAATGTTGGAACAATAAATTTATCACTGGCAGATTACAATTGATTGAATTGTATTAATAGCTATGAACTGGATCATATGCTAGGTTACCCTCAAAAGATAACAAAACAAGTCAATCGAGGGTGAAAAACTCGTTAGAAGATCTGTGCCAGTAATATCACGGAGTTTAACATGAAAAATGCAAATTTGTCGAACGAAAGAGCAGCACTTTTTCAACGTACATGAAACTGATTTCTAAAAACATACTCCTGTCTCTAAAAAATAATTGTCCAGTTTGAATATTATCTTTATTTTTTTAGTATATAAAAATGAACATCCAAAGTGGACAATCATTTCTACCAGTAAAATAAATGGATGCATAAATTTTAGTTATTTTTTAATATCATTAATTATTGAAAGACTAAAATAGTTCGGACCGTCAATTGATCTTGGTTGTAGCTCCAACATGATTGGAAGATTTCATTTCTGTTAAAACTTAAAAGCATATGGTCAACCGTTGGTTTGATATATCGCCTCATTGTCTAGCTCAATGCTTCTAGTATAAGCATAAGTTAGGAAAATATTTAAATTATGTCGTTATTTTGTATCTCGTCTAGCATTGGACGATCAATTTTGCAACTATTTCGTGAAATACGTCTAAAACATTTAGACTGTATAAAAATCCTAATTTGTGCAATACTTATTATTCTCATGACAATAAAAACAAAAGATATTCACTCACAAGTTTCGTAATGATTCATAAAAGTTGTCTCACATAAATCTTATTGCCCAAACCGCACTAGAGGGATAAAGGTCCAACTACAAAATTTCTCCAAATTAGAGTACAAGTCTAATTAAATCAATTTAGTTTCTAGTATCTTCTTCTTAAAACAAATAATTGTACACCACACCATTGTTTGAAAATTAGTAAAACCTGCTATGACTCTTATTAAATTGATCATGACCGAAATAACACAAATGAAGCCCCTTATATTAAAAGCAAAATTTCAAATTAAAAAAAAAAAAATTGGATGAAACTCTAATCGACCATTAATCCATTGCCTTGACGTCTCTGGTCACAGTGGAACTAGATTGTTGCATTGTCAGCTTGTTTTATGGACTTTCCTTCAATCCGTCATGATATACATAACTAGATGTTATATCTGTGCTATGATAGGTATTTCAATTTTTTTAATTATTTCTTTTTCAGAAAAAAACTAAATTGATTTATTGTTATAGTAAAAGTAGTTAAACTTCTACCTTCTGTAAAGGGGAAAACCGGAAAATTATCAATACACAATATGAAATGTCCAATTCTCTCCAGAATGTCTCACATTCTCACACTTTTAAGTAACTGGAGATAATTGAGACCTGCCCTAAACCTTATATATAAACTATAGATTCACATTCTTCTGTAGATAAGCATGTAACCTATCTAATGTTGATTTAGTCTTGAACTTCACACAAAGAGCCTATGTATCATGGGTCATATGTTGAGAGTTTGAACAATTTTCTGAGCCATGGACGATTATTGGAGTTTTTGCCAACTAAAGTAAATAGAATAAGTTTATTTATATGGAAATCTATATAAGAGTGTGATCATTAATGCAAAGTAAACTTATATTTTTGTGTTTCTTTTTCTCTTAATCTGCAGGGGCCTTGTGCAATAAACCTCCTGTGGGCGGTCGTCCGTCGTCGAATGATAATTTGAACTTGACAAATGCGATAAACCTGAAGTAGGCCCAACAGATGCATCTCAGGACAAGCATAAATTTAATGTAAAACTTTGAAGGTGGGTCACGTTAGATAATAGCCCGTCGGACGAAGTATTCATCTTCTATAGCACGTTGGATTATTAGATAAAAAAAAACCCTAAACATTTTGGTAAAAGAATCTAGAAACCATCCTCCAACTCATGAAACTGCAAATATCATGCGAACAATTATGAGGTATATGTCGTCTAACTATGGGATAGATTCAAAATTCGTAGTAATTAAAATGCTCTTTTACGTACTATTCATGTTAAGAATTTTAGTTTTGTGCTTCTTGTTTAAACAACTTTAAGATGGGAACAAAACTAAATTTGAACTATTTAAAGTAATATCGAAAACAGCTGGTGAAACTATTTGTAAAGAAACCAGAATATCAAGGATATGAGTTTGTTATATTAGCGTTAAGAATTGTAAAGTTAGTATTTTCTTAATAATATTTAGACATGGATATATACATATCTTTAGATGTAATAAATTCAAAAAATCAAAACCACCCTGACAAGAATCTTGCCGGAAACCTAATTAAAATATGACACATAAAATTTTTATAAAATCTCATACCATAGTTAATAAATATTTTAACTTTTGTTTATCACTTTTATAAAATTTATATATTCCGTCAATTAGACTAATATAATTGAACCGATGAACATTAAGGTGGTGTTTGGACAGCATTTTTATTTCGTTTTTGTTTTAAATCTGAAAAGTGATTTAAATGTTACTTTGAATTGAAGTTGAAAAATTTGTTTGGATAAAATTTTTAAAACAAAAGGAGCATGTTCTATATTTGGATGGTGTTTTCAAAAGAGTAAAGTACGAAAAACATCACTAAACTATTGAAATGTCTCAGATTTGGTCACTACAAAAATATTATTTGACATAAATGGTTACTATACAAATGAAATTGCATATGTACATTTCAAGCTAAACAATTAACCGTGTATTTTTGGTCATTTTACAAATACATGCAAAAATGGTCACTACACTAACGGATATTGCAACCTCACATATGTGGTTGGCAGTGTTTTCACGTGCATCGATCAGAGGTCATTCCACTCTATGGCGGATGTTGGCGATGTAATCGATAAATGGGGCAACCTATTTACATAAAGGTGGTTACACTAGGAGAAGATAGGAAAGTGTTTGTTTTCAATAGATCGGAATGAACAATCCCGACGCTCCAAACTATAGCTGCGGCCAGAGATCCATGATTTTAACATCATGGACTAGTGCGAATCCGGGTTAAAGATCTGCCTGATGTCGGAATGCCGAGGTAATGGATTGTTAATTTAATCTTACTTTTGTATTTGATCCTGTCATGTGCTGGAGGGCAACTCAACTGATTCTTGGATTGTTGAGACGAATTAATCGTCTGCAGGAGCAGTTGACCGAAGCCGAAGAAGTTGCAAGGATGCACGAGGAGAATTTGTAGGCTTTGAGGGCTAAAATGGACAGTAATTACGCCGAGTTGAGACGGTTGAAAAACAATAACGAAGATCAATAACATCCACAAGCCAGATGCAGTCATGTTTTCCTTTAAATAAACACCTGCATACCCAATTTCTTGCTTCTACTGAACCACCACCAATTTCGGCATCACCAATCGGGACACTAGATGGTGGAGTCGGCGTCAGACGAGCATTGCTTCTTATGTTTCGAGGTTTATCATTTTGGTTCTTGTTGTGTGGCACTATCATTCTGGTCATGATCGACAACTCACATTAATATATGTCGGTTCAAAAAACAAATAAACAAGATCTAGTCATGTTTTCCATAAAATAAACACCTTCATACCTGGGTTGTTGCTTCGATTGAACCACCAGGCATTTCGGCTACTTAAATCGGTAGATGATGCAGCTGGTGTCGTACTACCATTTCTTTTTCTTTTCCGAGGAGTACAATTCAGCCTCTAGTGTTGTGCAGCACTTTCATTCTATTCATGCGCATCAAAACTCAAATTAAGGTGTAAAAAAACCCAAATAAAATATACATTTTGTTGGGTACAAGACAATTAACAAATGTACTCCAGTTATGTTTTCTACAAATACACATCTGCACTGGATCCGTGCATCTGTTACAATGCATCTTAACATGTTTCTTTATCCTCTCTGTTCCATCTTCATACAACCGATTATCGTCATCTGGTGCTCCTTTTTTTTTTTGTTGTCTTCCCCGTTCTCCTGCATTTCTATTCAAAGTTTTCTGTGCTATGTCTCTCGCCTTGTATGCCTTTGATCTTGTGACTTTGATGTGGAAATCATCATCAACCCACTTCTGAATGCCTGAAATCGGTATGTGAGGATCAGCTCTAGTTTTTTCCAAGTATGTATTTGCCAACCATTTTGCAGTGACCTTCTTGTTCGTGTTCTCCGGGATGCAATCTATGTGAATATCTCTCATATAATGCACGTAGAAATATTCAACGCCTTCATCTCTATTCTTCTTCGCATATACGAACCATTTGCATGGTGCTCTGCACTTAGCCCTGAGCCTGGTAGAATCATTTGTGTACATGTACACTGGTCTTCCTGTTAACATCATGTAACTTTTGATTGCATTCTTAAAGTCATTCTTACAATCAAACTTGTCACGAACCCGAAACTGTGGCACACCATCCAAAGTCCCGAAATCTGGGTACCGAGCTGCCTGGGCATCACCTTCATCCTCTGAATTTGGCTTCTTCTGGAGTTCTATATTTGCATTATCTTGGCTGATGTCAGTCCCATCATTAGTACGCTGCTCTTTGAACACGCACTTTGGTCAGGGGTATATTTAACCATTACCAGTGTTGATAGGCTCGGACCGGAGCTCGACTCGGCAGTGGCTAGGGGTCGAGCGACTCAAGGGTCGACTCGGGGCGATTCGGGGGTCGACTCGGATGACGCCATAATTATGTAATAAATATTAAAAATTAATAATTATATTTTTAAATAAAATTTTATAGATTCTACATATATTTTTTAATTGTTAAAGTCAAATTAGCACTTCATAACTTTCAAATGAGTTTTTATGGAGCAAAATTATGAGATTAGCTAAACTATTAGCTTAAATTAACTTTTATTATAATAAAAAATTAATAAATTTGCTAAATAATTGACTTTTATTATTAAAAAATTTACATTGAATGTTTAATCAATGCATTTGGTAATAAATTTTTCAACTTTAGTTTAAAGTGATGAATATTGCTCAATTTATTTTGTTTATAATATTTCATCTTGGTTCAAAATAATGGTTATTACGCAATTTGACATTTGAGATGTGAGATGAATGACTAAATTAAAAATTTAGGCTTAAACGTTTGAAATTATGGGTTTAAATCATACAAATATAAAAGTTATGGACCATTAATAACATAAAAAATCTAATTGAGGGTCAAAAGTTAAATATTCATCCTCAAAAGTAGTGCCAAAAAAATTAAAAAATATTACAAAGTAGGCAAAAAGTCAAAACCCAGTTCGACACGGGTTTGACTGACTCACGGTTTAACTAGAATCTTGACTGGTTTTGACCGAGTCCTAAATTGCCGGTTTTATCACCTACATGGCTCGGCCTGGGGTCCGGTTCCTGATTAAACCGGTTTAACCGACCGGTCCGAGCCGAGTTTAAGAACACTGACCATTCCCGTATTTTGTTGACTTACCATTCACTGTTTTTCCAAAGTCAAGACCTTCACTGGATCCAAAGTGATCATCTGAACTATCGTTGGTCCGTGCTTCATGGTCCCCTATGGCCGGTTGATTAGCCCAAGATGTACCCCTGTTAAACGACTCAACATTGAAGTGTGTATCACCTTTATCTTTGCTCATCATGTTACAAAACAACTCAGCAAATGATATTTCATCTCTACACAGCTTGTACACCCTATCCAAGGTTTCATCATCGTTATGAGGTGCATCCTCATGAAGTGTCCCATCGTGCCCAACATTTTTTTCAAATTTTTTGTCCTCCGTTGCTTCATCTAAGCCACCATTACCTGTTGCAAGGCTGCCACCAAGCTGCCTTACAATTTCTTCATTTGCAACTTCAACTACACTGTCTTTATTTAATGCTATGCTCTCTAAAAACTGACATCCTTCATCTACTCCATGAAGTTGGTCCTCATCAATGATGTTTGACCCCATCATGGGTTCAATTTCGTCAATTCCTAAGCCGGGACTGTGGAATGTTGGATAGTGGATCTGATACGCAACTTCCTTTAGCAGTGGTATTGTTCACAACAATTGTGAACTCCCCCTCACCTGTAAAATCTGGTTAAAATTGAATATCATGCTGCTCTGGGTGGGTTGAAATTGAATATCATGCAACAATTGTATTCTTTCCATTGAATGAGTAGTGGCTCTTTTGGAACTGGTTTCTTTTTTTGTTTCACAAATCTAGGTGGGTTGTGGTTTTTCCCACCAATCTCCTCTATGGTGGTTGCAGAATTTTTAATGACACACACATTACCTTCTGTTCTGACCGCATTATGTTTTTCCTCAGTGAATTGGTCATACAGCTTTCCCGGATCTTCTTTAAACCTTTCCTCAGCTTTCTCTTTCGTGTAATGATCACAATAAACATCCAAAATTATGTAGTCTTTAACTAATTTTAGAAAGTTTCTTAAATGTGAATCTTCCAACAATGCATGTAATCCAACATTGTAATCATTCTCAGGGTGCCTGTAGTAAGAAAACACAATGCTTTCTCGATCGTAGCCTAATCCAACTATTACAACACTCAGTTCATCAAGGTTGAAATAATCACCATGGCAATAGTCAAGGTATGAAACCTTTTCTCTAATGTATTCCCTAGTACTATATTTTATTTGGCCACTATAATAAATTCTTATAGTGAAATATTTGTTGCCGGAGCTGTATCAATAGAGTATAACTGATAAGGATATTTTCAAATTTTTCAATTACGAAATATAAAGGTCATTCACATAATGGAGAAATTGTCACACACAAATTGCATGAGAATATTTTAGTGGAGGGTAAAACTACAACATAAAATCCTAAATGTAACCCAAACTCCAAAAAAAAATAATAATAATAAACCCTATCTTGCTCCAGGTCCGACAAGAAGATGGGAATCTGGACTGTCTTGATTGTTTTGTGCCCACAATCCCAAACAATTTTTTTTGTTTTTAACTGTTTCTGTGACCCGTACAAAATACCTATTAGGTCTATATCAATAAAGTGTCACTGATAAGGATATCTTCAAACTTTCCAATTACGAAATATAAAGGTCATTCACATAATGGATAAATTGCCGTACACAAAATGCATGAGAAATATTTCAGTGGAGGGTAAAACTACACATAAAATCCAAAATGTAACCCAAAAAAAAAAAACCCCCTATCCTGCTCCTGGTCCGACAACAAAAAGATGAGAATTTGGCTGTTTTGACTGTTTTGTGCCCACAATCAAACAAATTCTTTTTTTTAATTGTTTCTGTGACCCATACTAAATACCCATTGGGTTTTGCTCCTGTTATTGTTCCGCACATGTAATGTATCTTCATCATTTCCAAAAATAAAAAAAATAAAAAAAATCTAGGGTTCCATGGTTGACCCACAAATCCCTACGAAGGTTTAGGGAGACTAGTAAACAATGTTGGGATCAAAAGACGCGCCTTCTCCGCAAATAACCCCTTCATCTAGATCCACAATTTCTACCGGAATTGGGAGCGGTGCATTCCCCTGTGCTTTTGGTGTTCGTCGCGGCTTCTGTCTAGTCCTTTTCCTTCGGGTTTATGGCCCCGCCATTAGATTGGATGGGGATTTTGCTCTTTCTTTGATGACCGGTCCCAAGCAGGACCAAAATTGAAAATGAAATTGCAACAGAGAAAGTTCTCCCACAAGAGCGTTGGGACAATGGCAATTAACATATGTAGAATTTTCACACATATTTTTTTATGTCATAAACAATCGTTGTTGGCCAACGACAGTTTGACAAAATTACCCTCTTCTACAAGATATATGAAATAGTAGTGGTCATTTCTGAAAGTGATTAATCCAATGACCAATTTCGACACGATACAATAGTTGAGTGATGATCTATGCATTCAATTTCGTTAAGGCATGACAATGGTTCGTAAAACAACTGGAAAGAAGTTCGAATCCTGTCGTTTCTGGCTCCGGTCACTTTTGTTTGTTGATGGTTTTAAACATGTTTTTGTATGAATTGAATCCAATTTTGTTTTGGGTCCTCATCCATAAAAATATGATCCATTATTTTTATCCTGCCAAAATAACCAAGTTTGCGATTACGAATACGATTCGTAAAACAATTGGAAAGAAGTTCGATTCCTGCCGGTTCCATCATAGGTTCAACTCCAATTTTTGACGGTTTTAAACATGCTTTTGTGTGATTTGAATCCAAATTTGTATTGGGTTTTTAATGAAAATGAATAAATAAATATGAATCGTAGTGTTTAGGTTTTCAATGGCTTTATTTAATCTTCAAAATATGATACATTATTGTTAAAAAACTAAATAAAACTACTACATATTTTTAATATTTATTTATATATAATAAATATTTATTAATATATAGTATTTATATATATATATCTAAAAAGAATTTACCGGACCTAAACCTTATATGTTGAAAGTCAATTTATATAAATGGACATCAATATGCATAAACGTGAAATAGTTGAGAGTGATAATTTCTGAAAGTGATCAATTAATCAGTGACCAATTTTAACACTATACAATAGTTCAGTAATGATTTATGCATGGTAGTTCAGTGATGTTTATTACTGTAGCCAATAGTTTAGTGACCAAACTTGTAAGTAGATGATAGTTCAGTGATGTGTTTTTGGAGACTAGAGTTAGGACTATTGGTGATACCCATAAGACAACAAATGACAGAACGTTGGTAACCATTGTACAACATATTACAAATGTATAGCACATAACACTCTTAAGATAAATCATCATACAGATGTTAATCCATTAAAAATCATCGTCATTCTTTCACCTCCGGTGATCCCTCCACACAGACTCTACCAGAGCATCCCGAAACTCATTCCACCGATTCATCCCTTATCGAGACTGGTCAAGTTGTTGATATTCCCCAAGATAGGGCCCATCATCCTGTTGCTCCTGAAAAACAATGTCATCGACCTTGTCACCATACGCAGAGAAATGATCCCTGAGGAAGTTTTGAATAGCTCAACGTGCAATGATATAATCCCTTTGTTTGTTAATGTCCCACCAAAACATTCGACCCAACAGCATGTGAAACCGGTTTTTTACCACGCTAGAAGCTCTCTCTATAACATTTCTGATGGATGCATGATTATTATTAAACAAGTCTTTGATAGAATCTGACTCATACTTTCCGGGGGACGCTCAGCAATGTGGTACCCATGCTTTTTTGTATGGTGCTTAAAATCCTGGTATGTTTTTGTACCCCGAATCAACCACATAATACTTTCCAAGCGGAGGGAAAGGAAAACCTAATATCTCACTCCCTACTGCAGCTTCAAAAACTACAGCTTCAAAAACTACAGCTTCGTGAGCTCTGCCTTCCACACTAGCGTATACAAAGGTAAATCGTCTATCATGGTCAACTACCATCATGACATTAGTAATCAAGTTCCCATGCCTATTACGATATCGTGGTTGCATATGTTTTGGTGCCCATACATCAATATGATTCCCATCAATTGCGCCGACACAATCCTGGTAACAGTAACATAAAAATTTTTAATGAACAATGGAAAAAAACGTTCACCCAATAAATCATGTAAAATTATTGGGACAGATAAAATAAATTACACCAAGTGTAACATATGCGACCAGTTTTATAATACCTTAAAGTATGGAAAAGAGAAGTATTGCGTGCTATCTTTGAATGAGTTGTATTTTGTAATCGAGGACAAATAACAAGCCGGCCAAACCTAGAAATTGCCTCTGTGATTTCGTGTAAGTTTCGTGAAACCGTCTCAAGAGAGTGCTCAAACCTTTCTGCAGTATTGCGAACTATTCACTTGGTGGCGACGGTGTACATAAACATGAACAAAGCTTCATCGATATGAACTTTGGTGTTGGAATTTTCAACCCAAAAGCAATTGACCATCAGGCCAACTTGCAACGCATAATACGTCGCATGATTTAGTCGAGTAGCGCGATGGAGTTTCCTTGGATCCGGATGATTAAGTACTCGATGCATGTATTGTTCACCTGTCAATGGAGGCTCCAATATTGTGCATTCAAAACACGTTGTTGTTCATACTGATACATGAGTTGTAGCATCAAAAAGTCTGAAAAATCATCCAGATCAGAGCCACCATGATCTGATGAAATGTCCTCTACATCTTCATCACTGTCACTACGGTATGAAGATGGATGAGCACCACCCATTTTGTATCTAGACAATTTTGCATTGAGTAATGAGGCAATGTAAAATCACAAAATATAGAGGTCTAATCAAATAAAGCCAGTAATTTAACGCTCAACCAAATTGCTACTATACAAAAGCAATCAGAATAATAGCAAACAGAGTGAATACACAGTCATGTCTAGTCAGCTACGAGAAATGTGCATTTTTTTGGGGACCAGGGGGGGGATTACATTGGTAGAATGTCTTTCAAAATGTAGACAAACATCTTAGGCATAATGTATTTCTTGTTTATTCATAATCAACTCTTCTCAAAAGATGTTAATTCTGCATAACTTTGTCTATCATAAGTCATGGTCATACTTGTAATAGGTCATCAGTTGTGCACATTCAATTTTAAACCAATTCTGGAATATTAGATCCATTAATGAACCCGAGCGGTATTTTTTGTATCCATACTGTCATGCCTGTATCTCGGGCTACCAACCTTCCCCCCCCCCCCAACAAATAATGTCCATTATAGTTTTTGTTTTTTCTCCCAACGATAGAGTTGATAATAACATTTGCACATGTGTTTGCTCATATTCACATTGATTACATGTTATTGATTGCAACTGGGTTCAATACAAATTGGCCAGAAATTAATTGACATAAACAACAAACAAGCTACATTCTTAGATTCGCACCCTGAATAAAAGTAGGATCTTTTTAATCAAAAGTAATGGTACAAGAGACTTTACCCGTTGAATCGTGGTAGGAGAAATGCAAGCAGGTTCACCTCTCTCTTCCCTTTT